GCCAGCCTCCAGAAGAAGAGGGCAAGGCAGGAACTGACTGAGCAACAATTTGCAATGTGAACTGTCTGCTTCCTGGGCATGGGACAGAGATCAGGCTTCAATGTGGGGCTCCAGGGAAGGCAGAGCCTCTTACTAAAAGGAGGGGGTGGTTTGGAGAAAATGGGCAGCTGTGAGCCTGGGAACAGGTCACCAGAATTCAAGATGTGATCGCCTCTCTTCTCTTTCTCCCACTTAAATTGGGAAAACCTGGGATTGCATCCAGACCTTCTGGCAAAAAGTTAATCTAACCTTTCCAGCCAGGCCCTTAGGAGAGAGTAGTGAAAAAAAAAGATAAATTGGCTGGCTAGGAAGGAAAAGGCTGAAATACCAAGTTGTACCAAGGTACTGCTCTCCAAGGTGTGATATTGTGATTTATAATAAGAAATATATATTTGGCCTTCCACTCATTTCCTCGCACAGCGCTCCTAAAACTGTTGGAATTTCCTGTGATGAGAGCGATAAAGGTGTCTTCTGTTATGTTAAAGAGGTGACTTTTGGAAAGCACCTAAGGAAGGGGGCTGGTTGCCAGTGGAACTAACCATGTGATTATCGGGTTGGAACTTTCAGTCCCACCCCGACCTCCAGGGAGGGGAGAGGGGCTGGAGATTGAGTTCAATCACCAATGGCCAATGATTTAATCAGTCATATCTACACGATGAAGCCTCTGTAAAAACTCAAAAGGACGGAGTTCAGAGAGCTTCTGGGTTGGTGCACATGTAGAAACGCCAGGAGAGTGGTGCCTGGAGAGGGCCTGGAAGCTCTGCACCCTTTCCCCATACCTTGCCCTATGTATCTCTTCCATCTGGCTCTTCCTGAGTTATATCCTTTTATAATAACCAGTAATCTAGTATGTAAACTGGTTTCCTCAGTTCTGTGAGCCGCTCTAGCAAATTATTCGAACCCAGAGAGGTGGTCATTGGAACCTCCAATCTATAGCCAGCCGGTCAAAAGCACAGGTGATAATCTGGACTTGAGACTGGCATCTGAAGTGTGTGTGTGGTTGGGAGCAGTCTTGTAGGACTTAGGCCTTAACCTGTGGAATCTGATGCTGTCTCTGGGTAGATAGTGTCAGAATTGAGTTAAATTGTAGGACACCGAGTTGATGTCTGAAAATCCCCCCCCCCACACACACACTTTGGAATTGGTCCCAGAATCAGACAAGGAGAGAGAAATGTTCAGAGCCAGCTACGAGGCAGGAGGAGCCAAGGGGAAGAAGTTGGGTGTGCTGTGGGAACCACGTGGGTCATCTCTCCCGTCAAGGGAGAAAAGGAGGTGGAAAGGGGACTGGGGCAGGAAGAGGACTTAGCATTGCAGAATTGTCACTAGAGTGACTTCTAAAACTTAAAGTTGGGATTTATTACCTGGGGCGTACAGATGGACTGCAGAGGTCTGAAAAGATTTTACAGTTGAATGTGAAATAGTTTCACTTAGACACTTTTCTGGGCAGAGTTTCCATAGCTTTTATCAGATTCTCTAAGGGATCTGTGATCCATAAAGAGCTTCATCAAAGATCACCATTAACACACTTGGAGGGAGATCATTCTAGAAGGAGCAACCCACTTATTGAATAATTTCTCACATAAGTTGATCATCATTTAATAAAGAAGAAAGTGTAGGGGAGTAGAACACAGTTCTTCCATGGGGAGAGGAGGCCATTCCTTATCCTACTCATTTAATAAATATTTATTGAGCACCTACTATGTCAGGCATGGTTTGGATGCTGGGATACAGCACTGAACAAAATAGAAAAAAAATTCCTGCCAAGTAGATTTCACTCTAGTGTGAGGAGCTTTTACTCTAATAAGGGGAGACCAACTATGAACAAATGAGTAAAATATTTAGCATGTTAGAAGGGAGTAAGTGCTAAGGAAAAAAATGAATCAGGAAAGACGGATGGAGGGTTGGGTGGGGAAAGAGTTCACTGTTAAATGAGATGATCAGGGGAAGGCTCACTGAGGAGCTGTTTGAGAAAAGTCCTGAAGAAAGCAGGGGACCAAGCCTTGCAGCTTCCCAGGGAAACAGGATTGCAGGTGGAGGAAACAGTAAGTGCAAGGGCCCTGAGGCAGAAATGTGCCCAGGATGTTTGGGGAAGAGCAAGGAGTGAAAAGAGCATGGGAGAGGGTTCTGGAAAACAAAGTCAGAGAGGTAATGGGGGGGGGCAGATTCTGCACTGTAAGCCATTATACGGCTTTTGACTTTTCCTCTGAGAGAGAAAGGAAGCTCTTGGATAGTGTTGAGCAGAGAAGAGTTTTGATACGACAGGCTTAATGGGCTCACTCTGGTTGCTCTGTTGAAAACAGACTGTGAGAAGGCAAGGATGAAAGGCTGGAGATGAGTTTGGAGACCACTGCTGTAATCCAGACAAGACGGCACCTCAGCCAGGATGGCAGTAGTGAAGGTGGTGAGAAGGGAGTAGGTTCTGGGTGGGAAAAGCCATAGTTTCACGAAGGGCTGGAAAGAGGCAGCAGCAACATATCTCAGTGACTTCACAATGTTTGAGGGGGCCTGCCCTGCCCATCCAGCAGGCCCCAGGAGAGGCACTTGACAGCGGGATCACGCTGCAGCGAGAGAGAGCCGCCCGCAGAGGCAGGAGCCCTGGGCCCCTCAGACTAATCGTTTACTTCCTCAGGACCAAAGCTTACTGACCCACAAACAGGAAGAACAAATGTCTGTCCTGCCCCGCGGCCTCAGACTGGACTCTCTGCCATCTTCAAATGCCTTCTTATCCTGAGATATATGATTCTGGTTCAATAAGAGGCTTTAAAAACAACTGAAATGCCACAGCAGAGCCAAGCCCTGTTACTCGAGTAAATAGTGCTGCACTCTCATTTCTCCTCCCTTGGACTTTCCCCTGACCGCAGGACTTATGCTCAACTTGCTTCTCAGGGCGGTGGCCTTGAGGTGGGGCGAAGGAGAAATCCTCGTATGGATTATGACAGAGTGCAGCAGCTCACCACGGCAAGGCTGAGCCGAGCACCCCACGGGGCACAGATGCTGGTCACAGCGCGTCGACAGCATTTTGACTCAGAGCAGGTGCCTAATTAGGCAATATCCACTATCCTTTTCAGTGCAGACAGCCCGAAGCGCTGGACCAGGGAAACAGAACATGTCAACGTGGCTCACAACCTCCTAATCCAGGGCAATAGGGGACGTTGCAGCTAAGATTATCCAGGTTGTACAGCATCTAATAGGGCTTTGATAAATAAAAACCTCATCTCAGCCTGATTAGCATCATAAAAACTGTGTTTAGGAATGGGGAAGCAGTTAGTGAAACCATGCTACTCTTTTTTCTAACAGAATGCAGCTGTTCAAGATGACTGTAGCAGTCGCTCTTGAGTTTGGATGTTCCATCCAGGTCACTTCTTTTCTCGAAACCCCCACTAGGTAGGTCATAGGCCACAGGACTGCCTCCGTGCCCCAGATCCTGGGTCCGCAGGTGGACTCCTGACCCGGCTGAGCCGGGTGGACCCTCATTCTCAGGAGTGTGGAATGAGTGCAGCCTCCGCTGGCACTAGAGAGAGAAGTATAGGAAAGCTGGGGCTGGCACAGCAATATTGGAACAGGCGTGAGTACGAGAGGGCTGCTGACCGGAAGAAAACAGGCCGGCACGTAGAGAGAAGCAGAACAAGAAGCCACGTGGCCCCAGAGAAACCAACGGGATAAGCTCAATGCTGACGGTCCATTCTTGGCCCCAATATCTTGAGTCTTCTTGGTGGTTGTGCCCTTCGTTTCTTTGAGTAGCTGCTGTCCCTACCCAGTAAATCCCTCCTTGTTGCTTAACATCTTTGGATGCAGTTTCTATTTCTTGTCACCAAAAAATCTCTGAAATGTATCAATTAAGATTACATAGCAATTAAATTATACAGAGGTTAAGATATTTTATAGCTTAAGCTAAAACATAAAATGCATTAAATTGTATATATCCTATGCTTGTCATTCTGAGAAAAAAAGGAATGTATATATGAACACTAGCTGGAAGGAAAACATAAAAATATCTCTGGTGGTTTTAGGGGTCATTATTTTCCTATATTTTTTCAAATTTCCACAAAATTGCTTTCATAATTCTTGAAAGAAACTGTTGGGCAATCAAAAAAATATTTAATATTTGATCTATAAAGCCCCTCCTAAATGATTTCCAAAATAACAGGCAGCATAGTTGATAAATAATTGTCTATTATACAGTTATCCTGGGGTTGACACAAATAAGTGTGTTCCTAAAACGTTGGAGGAAAATGGCCACTTGAGATCTCATCCATGTCAGTTCTTCCATATTTTTATGAAAGGAAAACACACATACTGGATTCACATGTTTGTTAATTTCAGACTTTTTTTCACATCAGTTTTTCCCAGGCAGGGCCCTCCTCTACTCTGGACACAGCCCCAGAGTTCCCAGAGAGCTCAAACGCTTGATCATGTAACCTAGAAAAGTGTTCACCCCGAATTCACCAAGAACCTGCGAGACTTCAGACACAATTCCTGAACCCTGCCCCAGTCTGACCACCCAACTCTGGACAGCAGCTTTACCTTCCTGTGCTGATCAGCCTAACCCAGCTCTCAGCATAGCTCTGGCCATTAACCGTCTCAGGTCCCACAACCCCCATAACTGGACCAACTCATGCTGCTGCAGAACGTTAGTACTGCCAGGGACTGGGGTCAGGTGGTCCCACCCATTCATTTTACAGAGGAGAGCACTGCGGCCCAAAGAGGGGAAGACTGCTTCAGAGCATCACACACATTTGCTTTGAGTGCCAAGGGCTTTCAGTCCTTCCAGCTAATCTAGAATTAACTCCTTGAGATGACCGAGGGAGGGAAGCTAGAGGCTTTGCAATGAGCATGGCTTCACAGGTGTCCTCTGGTCTCCCTTGAACACTGTTCAAGGAGGGATCATATCTGGAGCTACTTCCTCCCCGTCCCTGAGATGTCACAGACACCTGTCCAGGAAAGCCTGCAGAGGTCCTTACCTCCAGAGGGCGCTCCAGCGACTCTCCTAAGGAATTTAACCCACTCCTCCATCTCCGCCTGGGAGCTGGCCATGAGGACATAGGAGTCCTGTCCCGCACGACTCTGGTCCCATGAAGCTGGAGGAAGAAGTAACACTAATGAAGGTCTTAAAGTGGTAAGGGGCTGGAGCAAGGGAAGGTGAAGGGAAGCCGAACCTGAATTGCTTCCTTGGTTCAGTTAAACAACCAGTCAAACAACACAAAAGCATTGTCTACTTATCCTCAGTGGAAGTGAATATCTATGCACCCTTATGGTTTTTGCCGAAGCTCTAAATCTATAGAAAAACCACGGACCACGGTGGTTTACAATTGGGATGACTTGGGCTGAGATCTGCTCCCATGGAGGACAGAAGCCATTTCCTACCAAAAAGGAAGAGGAAGTTCAAGGGCCAGTGTCAGTATTAGAGGAGACAGGATCAGCCCATACAAGTTTGAGACTTCAGTCCATCATGGCGATCACAGATACTTTCCTAAGCCACCCCTGAGCTGTGGGGTGGGAAAGGGAACCACAACTCAGGAGGGAGGGACAATGAGCACATGTGTGCCTTTCTCAGAAAATTGGTGCTTCCTGTTCAGGATTACTGCTCTCCTGCCTGCACAAGACATTGCAAATGATAGGTTCTCAATACATAGTTGATGGGCAAATGAAGTTTGTTGGGACTTCTTTACCATTTTCACTTTAAACCCAAGATTACAGATAGACGTGTGTAGTGTCTCCTGGGTTGGTGTTACCAAATGGACAAAAGGGTGGAGGAAATGACAAGGGGACAGAGGAGATTGAGAGAAAGGATGAGAGAAAGTGACAAAAAGAGAAAAATAGGGAGAGAGAAGAGAGGGAGAAAGAGAGCACCAAGCATGGGTCTTAGAAAGGACGAGAAATTAATAGCAAACTCTTTCAAATACAGGATACTATTAAATTTCAAAGTGTCTTTATAGACATCAACCCATTCTTCTCACAATGTCAGGGCATTTCCCTCAAAAAGAGCCTGTTCTAACACCCAGGTCGTGCCCAAACCTGTATTTTCTTGCAGGACAACAAAAGACTTTCAAATTCCCTTTGGTTCTGGTCCCTTGAACTTATCTTAATATCGCTGAGCCTCACCTTCTTTTACACTTTGGGATGAGCTGATTCTGAATCCATCTTATCATTGGGTCACTAGCTCTTCTGACCAGAAAGGTCAGTCCATGGAAGCCCTGGCCAGTCAGGAACATCCTGAGAGCTGGGTATTTCCAGAAGTGAAATGGGAAGTAAAAAGTGCTCAGGGCAGAACTAAAGAATCCCATAGGAGTCACAATATCTCTTTGACATGGAATAGGGCTCTAGTATCATTTCCACTCTACAGATAATGGAACTGAAGCCCAGAGAGGCAAAGGGACCTGCCCATTGATACCAAGTAAGTTACCGCCAAACTCAGGGCAAGGCCACTGGTCGTACTCCCAGTAGTTTCCACTAGCCCATACTGCTTTAAATTTGACCTTGGCCAAAATGTATCTGGCATCCTCCCCCACCATGCCTATACTTCAGTGTACCGTGTTATTAAGAACATGCCTTTTCAGTTTACCCTGATGCCTGGGAAATCCTTTAGTTCCATCATGGCAACTCCATTGAGAAACATCCAGCTCTCCGGATGTTCCTGAATGGCCCGGGCTTCCATGGACTTACGCTTCTCGTCAGAGGAGCTGATGAGCTGCTGACAAGATGAATTCAAAATCAGGTCATCCCAAAGGGTAAAGATGATGAGGCTCGGTGATATTAAGATAGGTTCAAGAAACCAGAACCAAAAGGAATTTGAAAATCTTTTGTTGCCCTACCAAAAAAAAAAAAAAAAAAAAATTGTTGCCCTAATGTTTGGGCCCTTGGGGTGCTAGGACAGGCTGTCTTGGAGGGAAACTGCCTGACTAATACAAAGCCCATGAATAGCAACTCTGCCCTCAGGCACATACTTTCTCTGACTTAAACAGTCTATTTGACATGGGTCACCTATTGGGCTGTTTCCCTTATCAGAAAGGAACCTCCTTCTTTTCTTCCGCTGCCTAAGGAACTCCTATCCATTCTCTAAAACCTCGCTCAAATGTCATCTTCTCTAAGGACCCTTTCTTAACATCTCCTCCTCCCACTCTAAATTGAGTGAGGAGTCCTATTCTAAATCCCTTAACATCCTATCCTTACCTCTATCACAGAAGTAGCTAAGTTATCCTGAACATTGGTTTCCTTATCATTAAAACTGAGGTAATTGCTTAATATGTCCAAAACTGAAGCCCTGATCTTCCACCCAAAACTTGCTACCTGCAGAAATCTCAGCAAATCCATCTTTCCCATTGTTTAGGTGAGAACCTTGACTTTTCTTTCCAATCCATCAGCAAATGAAGTCCTCTCTACCTTCAAACTGTGTCCATAAATTGAATGTTTCTCACTCCCTTCATTGTTGATGATCTCTCACTCGGATTACTGCATCGCCTCCTCACGGGTCTCCCTGCTCTGCCCTTGCTCCTTTATATTCTCAACTCAAAAGAGTTTTCAAACATAAGTCAGATCATGTTACTTCTTTGTTCAAAACCTCCCAATGGCTTCCCATCCTTCTAGCATAAAAACTAAACTTTTTCAATTGCCTACAAGTGCCTGTAAAATCTGTGCCCACCCGAACCAAATCTCTTACTCTTCCCCCTGTCATCACTTCTCTGTAACCACAGTGGCCTCCTTGATATTTCCTGAACAGGTGAAGTAGGCTCAGAGACTTTGCACCGGCTTTTCCCGTTCCTGGAATATTCCTCCTCCAGATGTACATGCGGCTCACTCCTTCAGATCTTTGCTCAAAGGTCACCTTCTCACGATGCCTACTCTGCCCCCTCTATTTAAAATGACAAAGCAACCATGGCCATCCCCACCTCAATCAGTGCTTTCTCTCTTTCTTTGCTTTAATTTCTTCCACAGTACTTATCCCAACATAAAAACTATACAATTTCCCCATTTATTTGGTTTGTTTTCAGTCTCCCCAGCATTAGACTGTAACCTGCATGCAGGCTGTTTTGTTCTTTGCTGAATTCCCAGTTCCTAAAATAGCACCCAGCTCATAGTAGGTGCTCAGTAAATTTGTTGTGACCTCTCATAAGGCAGTATGAGAATTAAATGCAACATATGCCACAGAAGGACTAACCCCCCATCTCCGATGACTCCCTTTGGGTGAGAGGAGAACAGAGAGTTATTCTGCTGGAAGTAAGTAGGGAGGAGGAAGCTCATCCTACATTTTTGCCTGCCCCAAATAAAGAAAAACATAGCATAACTACAATGAAAGTCTTCTCTGTGGCCTTTGTGCAACTAACACTGGTGATCATGGAGAGAGGGCCCTGATTAGGATGGCCGTTTTTAAGCCAGCATTGGCCCCTGAGAACCATCTTGCACAGAAGGCTGACCAAAAAAGGAACTGAAAATTCTCTACATCATAACACAAAGGGTGTCTCACTGTAGGTTGAGTAGAGCCTTGGGAATGGTGGTGCCTTCAAGAAAATGGCTCCTACCTTACCGTTGCTTTAGAGTTGTTGTTTGTCCTTGTGTGTGTGTGTGTGTGTGTGTGTGTGTGCGCGCGCGCAACTGTCCAAGAATTCCCTCAGCAGCCAGCAGACCGCTGCAAGTACGAGTGATAATGAGATAACAAACCTTCATCCGCCCCAGCACAGCAATCTTCAAGGGCCCCGGACTTTGGGTGCAAAGCCCACAGTGAATTTGCAGCTGGAGCTCTCAATAGGGTTCCCTCAGACTGAAAATTCAGGCTTTGGGACATGTCTTACCATGTATGGTTGCGTCCCATGAACTGTGCTGAGAAAGGGGTCCTAAGACTAGAAGAAACCTTGTGGGCAAGTGGTGGGGTCTTCCCAGCGAAAGGAAGCTCTCTCTCTTGAGCAGGAGAGAGGTGGAGAGACTTTCAGATAAAAAAGCAAAGGAGTGCCCACAAAGGCGGCCACCCGGGTAGAGCTGAACTTTAAAAAAAAGTTTTCCTTTGTTTTCTATAAATAGTCATAGCCAGTTTTATAATTAGTTTCTACATTATAATTTCCTGTAGTTATCCCCAAAATATCAAACCCTTACATGGCACTAACTATACATGAGGCAGGGTAGCAAGTGTGTCATATATATTTCTTTATTTAACCCTCACTGCCATCATCATCGTCCTCATTTCACGGGGAGAAATTAAGTAACTTGATCACAGTCACGCAAAGCGTAAGTGGCAGGGTCAGGATTCGGCCCCGGGCAGGCTGGCTCCAGACCGGGCACGCATAACCTCTCTGCTATGCTGCCTTCTCCAGTAAGTTTCTCACACACATAGCTGCCTTGCGTGAGTCATAAGGATGGAGTTAGGGAAAGGGGCCCTCGGGGTACCTGTGGCCTCCCCTGCTGTGTCAGCATGGCAGCGGCAGCCTGGCTGCACAGCCGGACCAGCAGTCCTGGGGTGTCGGGCGGGGCTGGGGCTGGTAAAGGAGCAAGAGACAAGGAGAAGCAGCCTCAGCGTGAGAGCCTCGCACAGACGCAAACAGACTCCCCGGAGACAGAGCCAGACAAACTCCCCTTGCTCCAAGTGCGTTAGAGGAAGGGAACTCTTGACGGGGAAGAGGCACCCTCCAGTGTGCTGCTCGCATGCGCAAGAGGCGACTTACAGCAACCGACACGTGCTGAGTGCTCAGTAAATTGGAGCTGTCATTTCTCATTGGGTCACCCCGAACCATATGAGACCGCTGACTTTCCACCATTTTCGAGCTACCAAAATGGCAATTTCACATGGTTCCATTTATATTTTCACTGTTAATTTTAATGCCCCACTTACCTTCAAAACTGAGCTCCTTTTAGTGAGCAGGGAAGGTACACTTTCCAGATAAATGTCCCCAGTGCCTAGTGGAATACCCGGCACTAAGCCTGCACTCATGAAAGGCTTATGGAGTTGAACCAAATGTACACCCACTTAGTCCACTTGATGCTGGTTAATGAACTAGGATAGGCTCATCAACTATATGCAGAACTACTATGCATGCTTACTAGGTTGGTTGGTTAGCTGACTGACAGACTCGCTGAATTTAGCCTTGAATTCTAGGATCCAGAAGTAAGATGGGAATGTAATGCACCTCTGTCCCACCCTTTGTCACCTACCTGGAATGACTTCAAAGACAAACTTCCCTGCTTCTTCTGGGTTTGTGGCGATCTCCTTGATTGTACTTCCTGGTAGATACATGCAACCCTGAAAGAGCAAAAGTCAGGCCTTTAAGATAAGCAGCAATTCTGTCATCTGTGAACTAAAATGAAGTTGGAGGACAGATAGGATAATGATGGATGGGGCAGGGCATGGCAAGGAACATGGAAAGCTGGCATCTCAGTTTTGAATGGGGCTCTTCTGCTATTCAGGCCTCAGTCAAATTAAGTGGTAGCTATCTGAGAGCAGGCTAGGTGCCTAGAGAGAACAGGACAAGGTCCTGAGAGGAGAATGAGCTGAGAGGGGGCCATCACCAACACTTGCCTCTTCCCACTTTTCCAAGGAGGTGATTTCCTGGCCAAACCAGACACCTGATTTTTGTGACAGCAATGCTGAGACTGGGTGGAGCATACTACCTGCCGGGCTGCCAGAGGGGGCATTGAGGACTGAACCACAGGTAGCCAAGGAAATGGGGTACTTAGTCGCAGTAAGAGCTACTGAGCAGCACATTGCAGGTGTCTGCCCATTTGCTAAGCACCTTGAACATATTTTCATTTAGTCCTTCCAGCAACCCTCCACGCAAGGTACCACTACACACATTTACAAGTGAGGAAACTGGGCCTCAGAAGGACTCTGTCATTTGCCCAATGTCACAGAGCCAATAAGTGGCAGAATGGTAATTCATCTCAGAAGTGGGTTCAAAACCTGTGCTTGTCACCACCACAGCTGAGGTGGCGAGGACCCATCAGCTTAACGTGCCCTGGAAGTAGGGAGGAGGATCATGGATCCATGGTGCAGAGTGAGGGTACAGGAGGATGTGGGACCTCTTATACACGAATATGTTATCAGAAAAACAAGTCACTTCCACCATGTGTGTGCACAGCGCTTTACCATTTATGGTGCACTGTCACATGCAGTATCTCATCAGATCCCCACAACGGCTCCATATCAAGAGCATGAGAAGGTCTGCCACTTCTACTTTGCAGATGAGAAAACCTACACTTTGAAAGTCTAAGTGACTGCACAAAGGAACATGGTCAATTAGTACTAGCGTTCGTTACTCATAATTTACATCCCACTGGCTGTTGGAGGTAGTTTCTCTGATTCTGAGCTGAGTCAACAGATGTGTCTTTATTCTAGAACACAACATGGGTGGAGAGGATTGGCAGCAGAGAGGCTACAAAGGCAAGAATCTTAAGGAACTTTCAGATCAGCTCAGGAGCCTGAAAGAATAAATGTTTCTCGAGGATCTAGAAATAAAAATGTCTAAGACTGAGAAAAGTGTAGGAGAAAAAGAAGAAGACAAGGAGGAGGAAGAAGAAGAAGAAAGAGGAGGAAGCAGAAGAGGAGAAGAAAGGGGAAGAGAAGAAGGAAGGTGAGGAGGAGGAGGCGGGGGAGGGCGAAGAAGGAAAAGAACAAGAAAAAAGATGTCTATAAAAGGGAATTCTGTATTTTATCACCTAAAAATAATCTCCACCTACATAGTCCTCACCATCTTTAAATAACATCAACGGCCTCAAAAAAACACGGCCCTGAGATTGTGCTGCTGGGCTACTTTGCATGAGTTATGGCACCAGAATAAAAGGCCAGGTTATTTTTACACCAGAGGGAGTACTGCCTGGCAGGAAGAAAAAGAAAGTGTAATTTCGCAGGTACCTACCTGCCTCTCCTAAGTACCTCTCTAAACTATTATTTGATACCCCAAATCATTTCATCTGAAAATAGTAAAAATAAAATACAAATATATAAATATCATTTATTGAGCAGTTACTAGGTGCCAGGCTCTGTGCAAAATGCCCTGAATATACTATTACATCCAACCTTCATAAGAACACTAGGAGGGATGGACTGTTATCTTCCCCATTGTAGAGATGAGGAAGTAAGGCTCAGAGAGGTTAATTAGCTGGTCCAAGATCACAAAGCTAATTAATAGGAAAGCTATGATTCAACCTCGGTCAGTGGGATTCCAGAATTACAAGTAAGGCTTTACTTACAAGTCCCACTTACTTGCCGGAAGAAGTAATGATCGGAGTTAAACTTAATCACACCAAGGCTGAAATGACAAATTGCAAGCTGTTTCCTCATACTGAGCACGAGAGCCCAACGTCTTAAGTGAATAGAGGAGAGTGCGGGAGAAGAAGAGTGGGAAGTGGGAAAAGAAACATTGGTGGGGGTGGGGTGGGAACACTGATGGGGAAGGAGGAATTGTCCCAGACAGGGAAGGGCCCAAGTTGCCCATGGCCACTTTCACCTAATTCACAAGTTGATTAAGGTGGACTCTGAACAAAGATGGAAGGAGAGGGAGGTTTATGCTAGAGGCCACAAGTCCTACAGGAGTGAAACAGGGGAGAGACTATGGCGTGGTGGGCTACAGCATGCTTATATTGGCTCATGAGAACTAACTGTTAACATTTTCAGGAACTCTGTGAGCCGGCGGTTAAACGTAGCCATTATTAAAAGTTAAATTACGTAAACGTACAAAGAAATATTTTATACTAAAAATAAAGGTAATAATACTCAGAATTCAGCACTTCCTAATTGTCTAGTATATTTTACTATTATTTCTAGTCCTGTGGTTATTTACATCTAATCTATCTGTGTGGTGGAAATACTGTAACTGTGCTACTGCACATCCCTTCTCAACTCTGCATTCATTGATGGCAGGTCGGCCGCTTCAATCAGCCACATGGGGAGGATTTACACTACGAAACTGGCAAATGCTGCATTCAAATCAGCTCCCCCACCAAAGAATCATTTATTAAACTTTTACCAACACACCATTGATAGACAACTGCCTGTGGTGACTTCACAGAAAGCAAGAGATGAGACAATGGGACTACCAAGCTAGGATTGTCTAAAACCATTATGGTAGCAGAGACTTGAGGGCAATTTGTTGAGATTCTGTTTTAAACAACTTCCCCAACAAAGAACCCTTTGGAATGAGTTATATAAAGCTAGGTCACAGACTTACAGAGCATTATGTTGTTAGAGCCAGACAGATCTTTCTGAGAACTTACAGCAAAAAATGCACAGACTCTCCACTACCGAGCCCCAAGGTTCCCTGAAAGCACATACACCCACGTCCATCATATAGGCTTCCATAATTTATTTAATCATCCTCCTTTGTTGGACATTAGGTCCAGTGTTTCTCATTATAAATAGCACTGTATATATCTTATTATTTCTTGTGGATAGCTTCTCAAAACTAGAATGACTGGATGTAAGGCTATGCCTTTTTTTGGCTCTTAGAAATCTGGCTACATGACTTTCTAGAAAGGTTGCACCAACTTACACACACATCATCAGCATACGTTGGGGCCTTTTTCATCTGATTGCACCAAGATTATCAGGGTGTTTCTGTTTTTTGGGTTTTTTAGGGATAGGATGTATGTGTTCTTTTTAAATTTATATTTTAGTTACAGAAAAATTAGAGAGTAAACAAAAAAGGGGAAATTAAAAATTGTGTGTAACTCCAGTACTCAGAGATAACCACTGTTAACACCTCTGTGTATTTCTTTCCCAGCCTTTCTCCATACATATAGATTCATGATTTTTTTCCCTCAACAATGGGATTAGTATATACACCATCCTCTGTTCTAGACTGCCCTTTTCAAAACAATAATATTATGGATATCTTTCCATTTCAAAAAGTATTAATTTAGGGCGTCAACAGCTGAATTGCATTCTATTGTATAGATATATAAAAGTTCCCCACTATAACTTAGCCCCTTCCACTGGTCATTGTTTTCTCATCACTCTTATAAACAACACTGTAGTGAAACCTGTAAAAGTAAATTTAATTATCTACATCAGTCTTAAGCATCCACTTAGGTTAAATTCCTAGAATTAGAAACGCAGGGTCAAAGAGTTTGCATTTTTTTAAAGGCATATATCACCCTCTGGAAAGGGTGTATAGATTTTCATTTCCACCAGCTGTGCATGATAATTCCTGTTCCCTAGTCTTTACCAACACTGAAATTCCTAGAAAGTCTTTGCTAATTTGATAAGGGGACAGAGGTATCTCATTAGCTTGCATTGCATGTTTTTAATTATTACCGAGATTGAACTTTTCTATATATGCTTATCAGCCATTACCTTTCTTTGGTAAATTGTCCATTTCTGTCGTTTGCCCATTTTTCTATTGAGCTGTTTGAACTTTTCTTATAGATTTTAAAGAATACTTTAAATATTAAGAATATTTATTTACTATATGCCTATATATAATTTTTTCCTGTCTATTATTTGCCTGCTTTATTATGTTGGTTTTTGAAGTATAGACATTTTTATTATGCAATTACATTAGTCTTTCCCTTGTGTTGTCTTTATTGTTATGCTTAAAAAACACCTGCCTCCCAAAGATTATGCAGATAACTTCATTTTTCCTAGGATTTTTACTAACTCATTTTTTACATTTAGTCTTGACTCCATCCAGAATCACAAATGATATGAAACATAGCATGGAAATATATCCTTACTTTTTCCCAAGAATTTAGCTCGTGTCTGTAACTTTCGTTTCATTTCTAGATATTTGCAATGTCTAGGAATCCCAAAACAATGTTAAAAGATAGCATAATAAAAGTACTTTACCTTGATTAGGTTTTTTTATCTTAACGAAATATTTATGGATATATGAAAAGTCTACAGTGATATCCACTTAATTCTTGTTTGTAATAATAATATAGAAACCTCATCCCAAATTTTCAACTGATTTCCAGCAGGAAATTAATTAAATATATTATAGAATGTCCATACAATAGATTATTTTGTCACCATTAAGCATTACATTGTAGAAGAACATTTAATAATAAGGGATAATATTCACGACATATTATTAGTTTTTTAAAGAATACGATTATACTAATTTTGCATTTAGAATAGAAGAGTTTCTAAATGTACATAGAAAAAACTGGAAGAAGCAAGGATTTAGGTGGCTATTTCTTGCTGATCGGATAATTTTTGTTTTCTATTTTGTGCTTTTCTGCATCTTCCAAATTTCCTACCATGCATACATATAGCTTTTGTAATCAAAATATACTTATACCTATAAAGTAAAATATTTTTTCTAAGAAATTATCATTTTGTTCCTAAAAGCTTTTTTAAAAACTTCTTATATCTGAAATGAGTATTTTTGGCTTCTATCAAATACCTTTTTCAGCCATCCATTTAGGGGTTGTGTGGTTTTTCTCATTTGACTTATTGATCTCGACCTATTGATCTGATGTATTATATTAATAGATTTCCTAAAAAATAAACCCTGCTTGTCATCCTAGAAAAAGCTTTACCTAATTCTCCCAGGCTAAAGTAATCCTGAGAGGACTTTGAGTTTCCTCCTCCAGAAGGAAGGGAGAGAAGCTAGGACCTTCGATAATTTATTTTACCCTTTGACATCAGTTTATGCTCACACAAAACAGTTTTTTACACATGCTTCACGTCGTTTGATCCTGTGACAAACGCAGGCCAGGTATGACTGTCTCATTTTTATAAAAGAAGAAAGAGGAGTCCAGAAAAAATTAAATAGTTACATAGCCAGACAGTAGTAGAGCGGGGAAAAGAACACAAGCGTGAACATAACGCACCTCTCACCCTCTCCCCCTCTCGGAAGTAAACCCCACCAAGCTGTCCTTTCCACGATTCGCTAAGGCCAATGCCTTATTGCATCCCCCTCACTCTCTGCAGTTGGGAAGAGTTCCTGCACTGGCTGTTAAAGCGCAGTCACCGCCGTCTTAGCCTGTAATTGCTTGGCTCTGAGAGGGTCTGGGTTGCTCATAAAGTGAAGGAAGTCTGGTTACCACGCACAGGACACTGGGCAAGAACTCAGTCTGTGGTGGGGTCTCTGGCCCTTCTCCAGCCTCTGCAGTGACAGGCACTCACAGTCCTCAAGTGGCGGGCCTGGTTAACCACGTGCTGCTGATGCGTCCCAGATCCTCAAGCCTGCCCTTAAAGGGAACTGTCTTCTTCCAAAATGACCATTTCATTTCTTTACATACTGCTATCCACTCCCATATCCTCGCTTTTCTCGGGGCTTTTTTCTGGCTCCAGAAGGTTCTAGAGTCTGTCTATCCTAATGAGTTCCTTCTGGCCAAGCCCACTCTTCCACCTCCACAGACATGAGCCCTAGATAGGGTGACTAGTCATCCTGGCTGCCCTGAAACATGCAGTCTACACCTGGGGTAATCGTTAATAGCACCCTCTTTCACTCTCAAGCACCACGACGGCCACAAGGAATCAACGAGGCAGGAAAAAGAAACACAGGCCCAACATTTAGGGTCAAAGCCCTCTCTAGCGCCACGTACTCCATCAGGAAATCCTGTTTGCTGTACTTTCAAAGTATATCAGGAATCAGATCATTTTCCTCCAGCCCCCAATTCCCACTGAGATTCTAAACATCATAACCTCTTACCTAGATTACCCTGCGCCTCCTCCTATTTTGTCCTATTTCTGGAAACAGTAGCCAGAGCCATTTTTTTACAACATAAGCCAGAGAATGGCCCCTTTCTGCTGGGAACCTTGCAATGCCTTCCCATCACCCTCAGTGTAAACACTCAAGTCCTTACAGTGACCTACAAGGCCCTTTGCAATCTGTGCCCTGACCCTCGACCCCCACGCTCGCCTCTCTGACCTCATTCCCTCTGATTCTTTCATTCCCTAGCTCTGCTGCCCCCACACTGACATCTTTGCTATTCCCCCGACACGTCAGACATGCTCCACCTCAGGGCCTTTGCACTGCCTGTTCCCTCTGCCTGGAATGCTTTTCCCCCAGAGAGCCGCCTGGGTAATTGCCTCTCCTCCCTCTTCACGAGGTCATTCTGACCACTCTTTTTAAAATTGTAACTCCTCCCCCAAATGCTTGCTCTCCCTCAACCGATTTTATTTTTTCCTCATTGAACTCGCCATTTTCTAACAAACCACATACTCTCCTTATTTATTAGATATATTTTCTGTCTTTCCCCCCATCTTCTAAGTTCCACATGGCAGCGACTTTTATCTGTTTTACTCATAGGTTTATTGCAAGTACCCAGAACAGTGTCTGGCACATAATAGACACCCAATAAATATTGACTGAACGAACAAATAAAGGAAAGCCCCAAATCAGTTTTCCTGAACCCAAATCCTCTCTGAGCCCTTGTACTCAGCAGCACCATCAAGACTATGTTGCCAGCCTCGACATACAGCTGCCTTTAGTAACTCCACAGTGGTCACCTTGGGGCTTCATGGAGAAGGATCACTCTGTCACCTTTGCAGCTCAGTTTATGTACCTAGAAAGCGGTGAAAAAGAGAGAGGGAACTCCTCTCAAATGCGTGTGTGTCTAGTCCTAGTAACAAGGCCCCTGTGAGTTCATACATGATCTGCGGGGGCTCCACGCCCGCCTTCTGCCGTGCCTGGAGTAGAGAGCCCTGCGCATGAGGACAAAAAGGCTGGCTGGTACCTGTGCCTTCACGTCCTCTTCTTCCTTGTAGTAGTAGAGCTTCTGCGCCTTCAACACGAAGTACCTCTGCTGCCAGTTCTTCACGATGGACCTCTGCTTCTTCAGCCAGCCCATCTTGATGGGCCTTTCCAGAGGGTTGGGGGTGGACGACAGGTGGAAGGCCGCCATCTGCTCGCCGGTCATCACGCCGGTCATCACACTCCGTGACCGAGCTATGGAGAGGAACAGACAGGCAGGCTGACCGAGGGACGAGCAGCAGTGCGCAGGGAGTGGGCGGAGGCAGAGAGGAACCACCAAGGGACCTGAGGAGCGGGTGGGGCCCCAGCCAGGTCGGCTCAAGGGTCTAGATCGGTATCAGAGAAAATCCCCCGTGACCCGGAAGGGCAGCCGCGGGGCCTGCTCCCGGCGAGGGCCGGGCCCGGACCGCACACCGGGTCGAAAGCCGGCGGCCCAACGCACACGCAGTCCGGCCGCCGATGTCGGCCCCCTCATGCTGCAAAGCGAAAGACTGGCTGGAGCCTTCTGAAGAGGAAGTGGCCACAGCATCTGACAAAAGGTGCTTCCTTTTTCCTGCGTGGGAGTCAGTATCTGACAAGAGAGAGGAGAAAATAATGCCTCGCTCTGAGGGTTCGGGGTGAGTCCCACGCAGCTGCAGAGGCAGCCGGAAGCTGCCCGGGCATTCTTCCACAGAGGAGGAGCTGGGTGCTTGCTCAGACCTCACTGTGGAATGGAGGCCTTTCCCAGCAGACCCCCGAAAACCCTGGGCCCCTGGCCAGGCGGCCAGCGTGCAGGAAGTTGGCACCTCCTGAATGATCCTGCCGAATGACATCGAGTGCCATTCTGTCCCCTGCCCAGTGAGAGCGTTTACAACCCTTCACCCTGGACCAAGGGCCTCCCTGTAGCTGCCTTCTTACTACCTTTCCAGTCAGGCTGTTGCTCCATGTGGCTGACAGCACAGCATTTGAAAGCAAAATGGATCTACCAACAGAATGCAGAAGCAGAATACCAATCCAGACCCCTCAACCCAGTGCATCATGTAGCTGGCTTTTGCTTTCACATAAGAGCTCTGCCTGTCATCGGATCAGGTCCAGGTGTCCACGGCTTGTCTCCACGGTAACTCCCACCCAGGACAACTCTCTCCTTTCCTTCCCTCTACAGCGGTCTATCAACCAGCCTATGGTCCCCATTCAGCATGTCCTCTGAGCCCCACCTTCCTTCTTTCCTAGCCAGTTCAACAGTGCCTTTAACATCACGTGGAGCTCCTTGTCTCCTCGACCTTGTGCTGCACTCCACACTTGCCAGTCCCCAGGGCCTGCATTCCCCTCCTCATTGGGGGAAGTCTCCATCTTATAACCCCTTTATTCAGCTTTTGTCAGTCCCTAGAAAGTTCACAACATAGCCCAACTCAGCCAACTCCACTCTCACCCAGTGTCATCTCACCTGGTTAGAGACAGCCCTTCCTTTCCTGGCTCTTTGACCATGGGAACCTTAGGAAACTTCTCTGAGCCTCAGTCTCCTCGCTTATTAAACTAGGATAATAATAGTCTGGACTCTGTGGAATTGTGGACAATAAACAAGCTAACATATATAAACCACTTAGCACAGCCCCTGGTCCAAGGCAAGCAAATGTTACTCATTATTTTTATCAACAGATGACTTTACTTCCTACTCTAAGGATGGAAATTGTATTTGAGAGCTTCCTAAACTCACCTCTTCATTTCAAAATGTCACTCCATCATCAAGCATTCTCTCTTCCTTCATTCCTATCTTTAATGCATTGAATCGATAGCTTCTTCCATTGCTTTTGATTCTTTTCTTTCTATCTCCCTCTAGGCCTGTGATTTGATTTATGTTCATGGCGTTCTTTCAAATACCAGAATTTTATGCAGTATTATAGAGTCTCTCTTCCACTGACTCTAGTTGTGTCCAGAGTTATCACTCTATTTACATGCTTTGCCCTTCAGTCCTGTATTGCTCTCCAAAGAAGGCTTTGCCCTCATTGGCTTCCCTTGACCCTCACGAGGGGTCTGTGTTCCTGTCACATGCCCTCATTCTTGGGTGCCAGCTTGCAGTCAACCTTCACCTCCCACCAGGGATTGGAAAGGTCATACTATGTTGTACACCAGGAGGCGAGACATACTTGATTCAACCCCCTGTTGGATAGGCATCATCACAGGAGTGCACAGACTCAGTTGTAGGAAAAAGTAGCTTGACGTTTTGATGATAATTTGGCACCATGCTTGCAAAGGGTTTGCTTTATATCGGTATGTCCTGGCACCCCAGTTAAGAATTTTATCTTAGATCTTGCTCCTCAGTTAATGCTGTCTTCAAGATCTTCCAACTGTAACTCAAAGAACAGACACTCTGGGGCTGATCACTTCCTCTAAGACTGTGTAAATGATCTGAAGGAACCATAGCAGGGTTTTGGCAGGAAAACAATGGGGAAGAGGGAAGTCGAAGAACTGTATACAGCTCTGTGTCTCTCTAGGTCACAGACTATAACTTATGAAGACTCATATCTGTCCTAGAAAGAGGGCAGATAGGAAGCAGAAATGCAAAGGATGATTCACACACACAATTTTTGGAGAAGATGGAAACATGAGGCATTCTGGCAAATGCATGGGCATTTTCCCCCACCTCAACAGTCTCAGCATAGCCCAGCCCAGTGTGACTTTTGTGATCATTCACCTGAAGCAGCATCAGACTTGGGAAGGAGGACCAACCTCCTAGCAGGGGCATACTTAGGAGCCTTCACTTGACTTCTGGGTTGATGCCACCAAATGGAGCTGGCACAGGAGAGGAGGAAAACAGGCAGGTGCCATATGGTGGTTATGAGGACTCAGGCCTCCTGGGCTATCCCCTAGAGACCCACAGAAATTGTTAGAACCACTATGAGAGAAAGTGAAGGTCTCCAGCAGCATTGAGAAAGTGGGGTCGGGCAAGCAGGAACCAAAAAAGACACTGTAGATTAAAGAGAATAAACTCAGCACAGAAGAACTCAGTTCCTGCGATATTATTCTGTGATTAGTTCCGGAAAGTATTTTCTGTTCTGTTGTGCAAAAATAATGACAACAAAACCAACACACAAAAACAAAAAGCTCCCCCAGAAGCATCTGTGCATTGTAGAATGGCCCGGCAAGGGCAGGAGTAAGGATCTTACATTCTCAGACGTGGCCAAGAGGGGCTTTGATGCCCCTGTGACAGGTAGGCAACCACCTTGTCTGCCTGCATATGGGCAAGGCCCTGACTAACCATCTTTGTATTCCAGAAATGATACCATTCACCCATACACCCACCCCGTGTTCCTTGAGTGCTGTTATCATCCCACCTTAGGTGGTGTGACTATGGGCACTGGGCCACGCATTACAGGTTGGAGTCGGGGTGGCTCAGGACAAACCTCTGCACTGCTTGAACTGCTGGAATTAAGCCCACACATTGGGGAGCTGACAGCTGGGCTCTGATGACTAAGCAGGGGATCTTTCGGTCCTGTGTCAGAGCCATCTCCCACCTTGGCCCTCAGCATTGCTCATCAGCCAGGCCTATCATGAGATGATTCAAATACCAGGGAAGAAAACCTGGTGCGCCTTGAGTTCAAGTTGGTTTTGACTAACTTTCCTTGTTAGTCCCTTTGAACAGTCTGTCTTCTTTGTGGGTGTGATTTGTTCCCGGATAAAGTAAACAAAGAAATCTGTTACTATTAATGGAGCTGTTTCTCATAAAGAAAATAACAACCGTGATAAGCTTTGCTTGTGAGCCAGTCATTGCACACTGAGTGCACGCTCCCAGCCCTTCGGGAAGGAGGTCTGAACCAGGCTGTGGGCTGGAGAGGGAGCTACAGGCAGAGCAGGGAGGCAGGAAGGTAGAAGGCAGTTGCTAAGCATTTACAGAACACCCTGGTGAAGTGGGAAATGAGGGCCTCAGTAAAGTCAGAAACCCGCCCTTACACTACAGAGATAGAAAGAACAAGCCCCCAGCCCTGCACTGTCCAATACAGGGGCCACGTACCATGGGTGGCTGTGTACTTGAAAATGAATTAAAATAAATTAAATTCAGTTCCTCAGTCACACCAGCCACATTTCAAGTGTTCAGTAGCCCCATGTGGCTCATGGCTACAGGACTGGACAACACAGGTAGACAACATTTCCGTTATCACAGAGAGTTCTATTGGTCAGCACTTCCTGGAATCTGAGTGTTATCATCACTAAGCATGGGACAAAATGGGCCAGAAAGGTGGGGCAGCATTTCTTCAGATAGAGAAATCAAGCTGCAGGGCCCAGAGAAGAAGTGGCTTCAGCTGGCAGGGTGAGAAGTTCAATCTTGATCTGAGGGGTACTAGCGAGCCATTGCATGCACCTTAGCAAGGGAGGCCAATAATAAAATATAGACAAGTTATATACTTGTGCTGCATATACTGAATTCTAGTCTGCAGGTGAGGGAGCGTATCAAAGGAAAGAAGAGAAATGGAAGAAGTGCCACATTCCCAAGGATGCTGTTTTTGCAGTAGAAGTTAGCTGTGTCTTGCCCCACGTTGGAATAAGAGAAAATTAAAGAAGGAAGTATAAACAGAGAAGTCAGCCTGGGAAGCATTATCACTTCCTTTCTTCATCTTCCCATCTTCTGACCCCTAACCTCAAAAATAATCAATCACAAAATCTCATAGGGTCTACTTTTGAGATATTTCTTCTGTCTGCATTTAATTCTGCCTCAGTTAGGATTCTATTTTAGCTGGCTCTGAATGTGTGGGTTAGACGGGAGTAATTCATTCAAAGCTGGGAGAACTATTGAAGATATTTTCAATATGTTGATATGAGCAGTGCATTCACCTGGGAACCATGTTTAAATGAATTCGAAAAGGGAGCAGAATTTACACGGCTCCACCCCAGACCCCTCCCCTGAGCTGCAGACCCAGCTGTCCAGATGCCTCCATGTACCTCGGTGGGACTCTCAAGGTCACCATGTTGCTAATTGAACTTACCATCTCCCTGCTCCTCGCCTCTCACCTTCCCTCCGTCCTGCACCCAGAAACACAACCAAGCCTGCTTTACCTCCACTGGCCTCTCCGATGTGCTGTGAGTGACATCCCCCCAACCAACCAACCAAACCAGAAGGATGCCACATTCCTACAGTCATCACAATCAACAACTCTCTCTCTCTATGTTCCAGCCTTCCTCTTTACCCCAACCTGTTTTTTTGGACCCTTCTATTCTCTCCC